GGGGGGGGGTGAGCATATATATATATCTGCGCTTGGTGGCCCTGATTCTCAGATGAGGGTTCCTGGCAAACCCCGTCACATGCATGGGGCAGCAGGGAATCAGTTCTGCTGCCGACCTAGACTAAAGATGCCATGCGGAACGAACGCCTTCTGCACGTCCCTGCAGGTTCCCTTTGAAAAAGACAAGACGCCAAATCAAGGACCTCGGATGTTCAGGACCAACTTTGGATAGACCACCAAAAAAATTGGGTCCTTTTTCCAGTACTTTGAGATTGCGATTGGGTCTTGCACTCCACTGAGAATTATACCCTGTTTACGCGTGTGCTGGTGTATATGCGAGTGTGTATAAGTGTGTCTGTTGATTGTTTGCATGTTCCTCTGTGTCATGTCAGTCAATCGGTGCCAACTCCTGAAATACTTCGGGTCCACTTTGGAGGCACCACACAAGAGCAATGTAGCGACCTCGTCAGCCCGCACTTTCATGCTGATTTGCGACACTTCCTGGAGCCAGCTCAGGCGCCTACGCCCATCTGCGCAACTTGCGGCCTCGAAAAAGCCGAATGGCTACCAAGTACAGCGACAGCACTGTTTAAGCCGTCAGCTGGCGGTGATCGCACCAAATATGAGCTGCATTGGTATAGCTATTAGGCTATAATACTTACGACTTACGATTGGGAGATCCAAGGTATCGTGAGCTTGGTCGCCTAAGCTTCATATCCTCGAAGGTGAGTAGACTTGAAGAGGCTGGCGCGGTGTGCATGGTGTTTTGTTGTGGTTTGGAGGGCTTCAAGCCTCTCACGAGAAATCCGGCCGTAAGAACGTAAAGGCTAAATTCCATATGTCAGGACATTTTGAAGTTAAGGCACTAGCCGAATCAAAGACATCGTGGGTTGTTCGGAAGATGTGTGGGCTGCATACCTAAAAATCGAGGGCCGCTTGAGCGAAAGAGGGTTGTCTGGCTGAGTTTACATAGCAGGGCCTTGTTTCTGAGCACCGACACACGAATATGACCGAAAATGCAACAGCATACGGTGACGCCACATTCAACCACACAGCAATTGGCATCTTGCGGGGTCAAGTCAAATCCATGCTTTCCTCTGCAGCAGCATTTTCTGCCCGTGTTCTCTAACCTACTACCTGTCCCTGCCAGTTGTGCACGGGAGAGTCTCCAATCCAAACATGCCCTATGGCAATCAAGCTTTCCGAATCAGCTGCAATGCTTCAGGAATCAGCTTTCGTATGACCAAATCGAGTCAATGCTGCTGCCTAACATCGCTCCTCAAGTCGTTGCTTGGATGCACCGGGAGTTCTGTCTGAGAAGTCTTCACATCGATGGCACAAATACTTGGAACGAAAGTCCCAGCTCGAGAGATGTGGGGTGGTTGGGATCTGGTCTGTAGCCACAAAATCGAACTATAAATGCCTGTATCCTGGGTCAGCACTGCTCCCCGAGGCATGGGCAACATGCGCTCAAGCTGCTGTGGACGCGGAGTGGCCAACCTTGTTAGGGTTCTGGTAAATTGGTCAAATCAAGTCTTTCACTTGCCACCTGGTTGCCACAACACGACACGGACAGCCTGTTCCCGCTACGGAATATACTCGGTGTTGGTGGTGGTTGTGGTAGCAGCCGGAGTAGTAGGAGCAGGAGTAGCAGTATAGTAGTCATTGTCGTCGTCGTCGTCGTGGTACAGTAGTAGTAAAGCCATGCCACGGCACGGCCTCACAACAGTCCCTTCCCCAGTTTTGGTGGTAGTGGTCGTGGTAGTATAGAGGTAGAGTAGAGGTGGTAGTGGTGGCAGTAGTGGTGGTAGTTGTCGTGGTGGTAGCAGCAGCAGTAGCAGTGGCATTGGCAGCTGAGTAGATTCGACCAGTAACTATACTGCTGCTCGAAATCTGGCCAAAATGCTGCATAAGCTCAACATAGCAAGAGTCCGCATCTTCTGGTTGCTGCCATTGTTACAGCAGCATCTTATACTGCGTCGGCCGTGATACGCTTCTCCACGTCAGGCTCCAAAGCAGGTAGTCAGTTTTCAGTTATGTTAACTGCAGCAGAACCACTTCACTGTGTCTGGCATCTCTCAGCCGACTCAGCCTTCAAGCTCGCAGCACCTCCTACACGTAGAAGTGCTGCACTGGCCATGCCCTGAGGCTGCGCCCATGAGTGCATCTGAGGCAACTGCAGAAGATGCTTTCTCGGAGCAGCTGGCATTGTCCGACCTCGCATCGCCCATTTACTTCCCTATCTCACCTACGAGTGCCGCCCACTCCAGTCCAACCAGAAGAGCCAGAAACAGATGCTCGTTTCAACCAACCCGTCGCCAGACTGCGAGTCGCCAATGACGAGTGTTGAACTGTTGATTTGGTTGTCGGACTCCGTGCTCGGTCCACCCGTCTGCATGTGCCTGCTCTGCACGCCTCGAGATGTCGACGTCCAGGGCACCAATGGTTTTTAACGGCAGGCCGGATGTACAAAGGGCTGAAGATCAGAGGCAAAAGCAAGGACTGCACCCGTCGCCACCCACCCAACAGGAAAGCCAGAGGGCGATGCAGACCCAAATATCTGCATTAGGGAAACGCCCGCGACATCCGGCAGGGTGAAGGGTCCTGCGTGGATCTATGCCCTGCAGACGTTCGTCTCGTATTGGCAGATTCGTGTCCGAAGTGGTCTCGCCAGCAGGTTCAGAGAATTTGGGATCTTTCTTGGTGCCTGATCTTGAATCAAGTTCCGTGCTGTCAAGTCCTGCCACACTCCATTCACACATGGCTGGGTGACAGATTTAGCTCGAGTCCCTTTCGGGCCCTGCAGCCGCCATTGCACATCACTGGAGACACACACACTCCAGCGCATCATACGTCTTCGCCGGTTGCATCTTAGCAGAGGGCGCAGTGATCCGAGCGTGAGGACGACTCTCACTGGTTTCCGCTTCCTGTTGGGAGACTGTATAAGAGGGAATTGCCTGCTTGTCGGGCTTCGTGGGTATACATTCGAAGATGCCAGACCCTCTCGCCTTTTCCGTGTTCCCATGTCTTCTGAAGCCTCCTGAGCTGAAGCAGTCAACAAAACAAAATGAGAGACTCAGATTTGACCTACTCAGACTCCTGTGGCCACACGAGCTCCACCTGAAGCAACGCCAAAGCTCTCTTGATGATCGGAGTATGCGAGCACGTGACCAGGGCGTTTCACACTGCGATTTGGCTCCGAGACACATGCGGCCTTGGTGTCTTCGCTGACCCCTTCATTGACCACTCCACATGGGAGCCTTTGGAGGCCACATGCCACTTCTTCGTGACGCTGCCGGTACAGAAGGACCGAACGAGGTGAGCCCCTTCAGCATGGAGGACCTTGCAGTTTGCACTCGGGCCTATGAGGCACGAATTTCGCAGGGCAGCGGCATCGAACCGAAGCGAATGGCACTTGAGGAATCTGGCGAAAGTGATTGCAGCCGCCGGTCCGAGAAGGCCAGAGTGGCTTGCCTTTAACTGGGCTTCAGCTCCGGAAGTGCTGCAGTAGCTGCTACAGTGTTTGCACAAAAAGTGCCTGCAGCCAGCTGCAGCCTGCACTTCCTCCTTCTCCAGCAGCACAAAGAGCCTCACAAACTGCTACCAGCAGCCTAGGACATTCTACGACGGCACACAACTGAGCACAACACTCTGCATTTCAAGCACTACATTCGGTGATCATGAATACAATAAACATTCATAAACAACTAACAAGCCGCATCAATCGATCGCGTCCCGACCGAGCCCGAGCCCGCAATCACGCTTCCGCTCAGGGTAAAAAGGTTTTTTCCGGTGCCCACGGGCCGCGAGCCGAGTCGCAGGGCGAGGGTCGCGGGTCGCGGGCCGCAGGGCGTGTTCAAGATTGCTCAAGATATATGATGAACCGGATTCGCCAAATGAGTGGGCCTTTTGAGATGTACGACAAATCAGGGGCGTGTTTAAGAGTGTTCCAGATATCTCAGATATATGATGAACCGCAACCAGGTTCGCGAACTGAGGGTGCGGATTTGCGGAATACGATGAACCGGGATCGCTACATGATTTGGGCGTTTTTGAGATATATAATGTGATGAACCGGCATCGTCAAATGAGCCGGCGTGTTTCGCACATGTGATGAATCGGAATCGCCTGATGCGGGGGTAGGTTTAAGATATGTAATCGCCAAATGAGGGGGAGCCTGCAAGAAATGCGATGAACTGGGATCGCCAAACGAGGGGGCGTGTTTAACAGATATGATGAACCGGAATCGCCGAATCCGGCGGCTCGTCTGAGATGTATGACATCATTGTATGATGAAGCGTGCTCGCCAAATAAGGGGGCGTGTTTAAAATATATGCTGAACCGGAATCGCCAAATGCGGGGGCGTGTTTAACATATATGCTGAACCGGAATCGCCAAGTCAGCGGGGCCGTGCGCAAACCGGACCACGGCTGAACTGTAGGACCGCAGGGGGACCCGCGTCATCGTGGGCCGCAGCGCCGCGGACTCAGCCGTCTGCTTTTGAACCCACCTATGGACACCTCTTTCCGTGCCGCATCGGATGGCTTCAAGCGCGAGCCAAAGCCAGGAAGCGAAGGAGCACAAAAGCCAATCCCGGCAAAAATGCGCGAGGCTGAACACAGACTATCACCCTTGCCTACATCCCGTGCAGTCCCTGACTGAGGCTTAGTGCCCAGCCACAAATCCAGGGCCGATCTGCCCGGAGAGGACTTGGCTGCTTGCCATGTGACGGGTGCCACGGCCGCCTCTGAACAATGAGCGTAATGAAATCGGATGCTGAATCCCTGCGCTTGCAAGTGCTCCGAGGCCCAAGCGAGCAATCCAACAGTTCTGAGCCACTTCGCCTGCAAAGAGAGCCTGCACATCACTTTACCATCCTTGAAGCTCCGGGCTCAGTTCAGGCGCCTCCGCGGTCTTCTCGACTGAACATGAACCATATAAGAGGCACAGCCTCTCGTCCTTACAATAACGTCCTTAAAATGAAAGCATGCGATTTTGAACTCCCTGTGCTGGAACCGGCAGCTTTGCGAGCCGTATGTCTGCAGCACTCAATTGGTCATTGCAACGAGGGCTCTTGAGTGCAAAGGCCGGCGGGGCTTCTTGTGCAAATTTTCCGCGAGTTCTAAACCTGTCTGACATCCCTTTGGGAGGTCAAAGCTCCTAACCCAGCTGCCGGCCCACCGAGATCAGCGCACGTTCTCACCGCATCGGCTTGGATCTCTGAGATGTCAACGGAGCTGCGTAGCTTGTAGAGGCAGTGTCTCCCATCTTTCTCTTTCCATGCCAGTCCAAACCATAGTCCTGCACAAACCGACGGCACGCTAACAGCACAGGCCTGCAACGCTTCCAAGCTTGTCGAACGCTGCACTTATGGACGCGGGACAACTTTTCCAAGTTAAACTTCGAGTCGGTTAACATTATGACAGTTATCAGACTATTAGACTATTTGGCATCAGACCGCATAACTTGAAATATTTTGCTCAGTTATCATCAGGTTTGATATCCTTCAGGGCTTCATCCTTGTCATTCTTTTCTTCACCCCTGAAACCATCATCATTTTGTTTATCGTTTGGGGACGGTTCGGGCCCTTTTCCGCCAAACGATGAAATGACTATGATTTCCTGAGGCTCTCAGCATTTTCCAAAAATCCAGGATTCCCACGCAGCTTTTCTGCACCTTTTTCCGCCAGACCATGGAAAACAGAGAAAACATGATGGACGATTGCTGAAGCTCTGCGCATTTTTCGAAAATTTGAGGATTCTCGCGCCCTTGCACCAGCCCTTTTCCGCCAAACGATGGAAAAACATTAAACGTGAAGAACATGTCCAGAGTCTTGCGCACCCTATCCGTGCTTTTCGCCACATGATGACGCACGATGAAAACACAATGGAACATGTATGTGATAATGCACGGCCGGAAAATTGATGAGTTCCTGAAGCTCTCCTGATTCTTCGGCAATTCTGGGATTTCCACAGCCCTTGAAACGATGAGGCTCTCCTTATTGTGCGATCAAGTCCAGGATGATGCAGATGATAACAAACAGATGTGAAATTGTAAATGATGATCAAAACGATGACCTAAAATTGAAAATAATCTTTGATGGCGACCACAGTCTCTCCACCAAAGAACCTCATAAGGCTAACAGATGAGTAGTGGCCCAAGCCGCTTCACATGATTTTGCTGCATGACTACACCTGGACATGTGACATGAATTACGCAGGTGTAGCCTGGAAAGTGATGTGCAAATGCCTACGACGCCTGAGAGCTGCCTAACATTTTAACATTGCCTGATTGGCCAACTCTGGTAGCATGGCCCCTGCCTAAGGGTAGGGAGACGCACAAAATAAAACTTTCAGAAACGCCCCCACATTAGCCCTATATGCCTAAATGAAACAAATTACCTCCCCCTGATAGGTTTCAGTAGTCAGATCCTTGCGTTCAAAATGAAATATTTAACAGAGTGAGTGAAGGAGTGAGGGGGTGAGGGAGTCGAGAAGGTTGGGCTCAAACGATGCTTCTATATACACTGAGTCTGGGGCTTCGGGGGCACAGACTACGTTTGTGCGAGGGTTTAGGGCTTTTTTGACTCACACTCTGACAAGCCTGGCAAGGTCTGTAGCGATACTAGTCAAGAACAAATAAAGGGAACTTGGGTAGTGCCGTCGTTTTGCCACCCAAAGGAAACCCCCAAGAGAAAACCCGAGTAGCAAAATGGATTCCGAGATTCCGCGGGGTAGGTTTGAAAGACACCACAAGTCCCATTCAGAGGTGGGGCGGTATCAACCCACCAAAAGTCCCCGCAAAATCGAAGAGCGCACGCAAGCAACCAGCTCCCACCAGAAACGAGCATCATGAGCATCAGCCGGGTCTAGGCTGGGGCTATTGCCTTGGTGCGGGGCTGTTGTCAGCTGGGCTTTTTACTATGCTTGAACACTTGTTCCTGGCCTTTCACTCAAGCCCTCCCTGACAACCTGGAGCTTCAACAGTGAATCTACTGTTAGTGAAGAAGGCGCGTTCCTATGCCCCTTGAATGTGGGAAAGGACCCACCGAGCCCTTAACCAGCGCTACGCAACATGTAACTGAAACCGAATATCATGTTTCATTTACGATCTTTAAGGGTGGGGCCATCTGGTAGCTTTAAGCTGAGGCAGACACGTCTGCAGCTTCCGGTCTGTCCAAGACCTTCGCGTGAAGCACAAAGGACTCGCAGATTCAAGCTTGAATCAAGCTTGAGTGCTGGATGACGGTGCTCAGCTGCGGGCGGCAATATGGTGTTTGCTCTGTCTGGAACTTGCTGCGACAGCAAAGACCTCAGTCCGTCAATACGCGCTTCTATGGATTCCGCATTAGCAAGTCTGGAAGAGCAGGACACACGGAATCATCGGTTCTGAGGCCCTGACATCCGCGGTTCTGCAAACAATTCCGATGCACTTCGGGATTGACATATCCTCAGCTTCAGAACCGGCACAATCGGGCACACGTTGACGGCATCCAAACAGATGGGCCGGCAACACAAACGAATACCGCCACACAGAGACTTCAACAGAACGCTGATGCGAACAATCAACGTCCATCAACGTCCCAAACAGCAGCGATCTTGGCTCAGATGCAAGACCATTTTGTGTAAAAACATTGCAAGTCCCGGACTGAAGAAGACTTGGCCAGCATCAACTCTCGAATGCACTTATACTGTGACATACTGTGTGTAGGAGTCCGTCAGTCTGCCAGCCAGCAGAAGTTTCTAATGCTTTCGAGCTTGGTGGGCTTTCTCAGCCGCAGGATCCCATGCACGCGGAAGTCTCTTCTGTACAAAGTCAGCGAGACAAGCGGACCGACAAAGAAACCTAGCGAGAGAGAGAGAGAGACAAAGGGAGAGAGGGCCGAGAGGGGAGTGGGAGCGTGGCACCCGGAGCCAAGGCAGGGGCCGAGTTGGGAGGCGCGAGGGCAACGTGCCTTTGGCCCGTAGAAAGTCGGCAAACTGTGCACTTCGCTGTGAAGTCACCTGAGCCAGCTGGGCCCGGCGAAAGGGCTCGGGCCCGGATCTCGCTGAGCCGAGCCGTCCGAGATCCGAACTCCATGAAGCGGGGTGGAGAATGTCATCGCCATTCGAGCACGACCTTTCCAAGAACAGACAGCCGCGCATCTTCCCGGACCTATCCTGCAATTGGCGATGCTGGGGAGAGCGCGTTCTTCCCTGCGACTCGGAGAGGGGAATGCATAGTCAAACGGCCTCAACGGGTTGACCACTGGGTTGACCCAGCAACAGCTCAGGCCGCCGCAAAGGGTGTGCTGCGTATCAATTTTGCAAACTAATCCTCACTGGGTGTAAACGTCTACTCAACATGGCAGAGAGGAACATTCTCTGCATCACTGCATCTGTGTCGGTATCTGCTCAGGCTGCAGCTGTGCGGCCTGCTCGGGGGCTGTTTTGCGACCTCGCCCGGAACACCCGTACCATGATGTGCACTCCAGTTTGGGGCGTTTCCCCGTTTGCTCCATACACAGACTTATTGAGAGAACGAAGCGGTGCAGTGGAGAAGAGAGAGTGGCTGGGTTCGCTACACCGATGAAACGGATGGTCGATTGTCCGGAGGCTTGAAAGCGCAACCGGCTGACAGAACCGAGGAGCCAGCAATGCAGTGATCTCTGCTCCTCCTGAATGCTCATTGGGTGTTTTGTGAAGTCTTTTGCGTCTTGCCCATTTGCGGCTTTTTCCAGCTCAGCTCGCCGCTCTCTCCGAAAATGGCACGAGCACATCCTCCAGTTTACAAAAGAGTTCGGATGTGCCGCATGTGCTGAACTCCATGGCTACCGGCTACCGCGGCTACCGCGGCTACCGCGGCCGGGCCCCATCCTGCGGAGGGGAAGGACCCTTGAAGCGCTCGAAGTTCCTCGGCCAATCTCTGCGCAGCCCGAGCAGATCCGAGCTGCTGTAAGAGCTCATCAGGTTCTCAGCTACAGGCGCGAAGCTGGATCCAAGCCGCTCCAGATCACCGGAAGCAGCCAAATGGATGCTGACCGGACCTGTCGCGTTGTGTCGGTGTGGACTCAACTCACTTCTTCGATCTCTTTCAGCATCCTGAACAAAACCTACCAATACGACATCGACATCTGCTGGGGGCCTTTGGCAAATTCCTTGGCAGCCATGCGGAAGGAGTGCTGCTGCGCGCATGCCTTGCCATCGTGAAGGCAGAAAGAGAAGTGCTAGAATCTATCGTGATGCGATGCCCCACACCCCACCGAAGTGACAGGGGAGCGCAACCGCCCCGACACTCCACCAAACCTTCCCTAGAAAGCTGAGCCTGCCTTATGCGAGCCCGTGGTTGTCGGATCGTCGTCAAGACGCATCGCTCGGGCCCCGACGATAACTTGAGCCTCCGAGTTCCACTGTAGATGTGCAAAATGGCAGCCGACCAAGTGTGTCCAGCACCCATGCTGTGCACACCCGGATCTCTGCAGAATGAAGTTGTGCAGCATCCTTTCGTCAGCAGGCATTTCACTGACGGCCTTCTGCCCTTGCAGTTGACGAAACGTGTAGAACTGGTGCCGGTCAATGCCCCGTTTCAGCTTGACACTGCCAAGTCAATATAAATTCAGAGTGAGACAAGTCTCAGGACCGAAGCCACAGCAAAGCAGATGGTTGCGAAACTGCAACCCCTAAATAGACGATAACCGACCAACGCGTCGCCGCGCTCTCTTACCCTCCATGGCGGCTCATGAGGTCACGAAGTGCAGCTGCGGTATGTCCTGCATGACCTGAAAGCGTCTGCGCGTGTCGGCAGAAGCGCTGTGCAGCTTAGCAACCTCTAGCGATTGCTCTGCCTATGTTCCACAGTGGTCCTTGCCTTGGTGAAGTCGAAGTTTTTGCAGTACTTGGCCAGAGCCTCAGAAAAAACAGAACGGGCATTCAGCTAAAGCTTTGCGTGCTTTCAGGTACCTTCAACATCGATACATCGATAAGTCCTCTGCCGCGAGGGAATGCGATGTTATCGACTTCCGAGGCTAAGCTCACCATCGCACGACTTACTCTCTTGGCCGCACGAAGTTGGAAGATGCGGAATGCTGCGGAAGCATCGTAAGGGATCAGGTTGATTTCGTTGACTGCTACAGTTCAATCGACTTCGCACATGCGTCCTTATCGAAGTGCTTTGATACTGTGGCTCCTCGCACCCACGACCGGAGTTTGGCTTCATGTCCTGCCATGCTGCCAGCATGTGGTCTTGCAAAGACGGACGCGGGGGGAGCGAACAGCTTTTCGGATCAGCCATGTGTGGCTGGAAGGAAACAATTTGTTGGCGCGTTTCGTCTGCCAAACCATGCAATGTGCAGCCAGTCAGGTGGCATCAACATGGCTGCGGCTGCTGCAACACTGGCTGAGACTGCGAAACATGTTAAAGATTCGCCAAAATAACTACTAGTAACGAACAATGTCGAACAATTCCATTTCGTCGACGTTTCGATGCATGATAATTCACGCAATCTTGGGTCAATCTGGGCATGCGGATCTGCCTGTTCCGTCACACGAGGAAAACCCGCAAGCAAATACTTTCAGCATTTCCGTATTCGCTGGTCTTGTTGCATCCGTCGTGTCGGGCCTGTTTCTTCGTGCATGCCGCTACTCCAACTGCATCTTCACATGTGAAGCATGCTGCATGACTAGCAACTAGACGAAATCTGCACAGCTGATCAGTCGCTACACAGACAAGGTTCAAAGGCATACAGCAACTCATCCCATGACTGTCCCGCTAATTGGCAACTCCCAAAGCACATCCTTTGAGATAGCCGCACATGCTCAACGCACAGCCGAACGTCCGCAAGGAGTCTTCCAGCTTACCAGTTGCAACCCTCGCTCTCGTTCAAGGCAGGCAAGGCTTCTCGCACGAATCGAACTCCAATCAAACCTGGACATCCAGGGTGCCCTGATCACGAATACTTGTTTGATGGCACTCCCTCACGCTTACATCTGCGCGTGCAGACTTCAACAGGCTAGCTCGCGAAACCGGCGTGTTTTGCAAAGAGGGGAGAGCATTATGACACCCATGCGGAAGTCAGACTCGCAAGAATTGGCTTGATAAAATCTTGGTCAGCATGGGCAGGGAAAGCACCACTCAGACGAGACACCTCTTTCCCATCCTCGCATCCCCTTGATGGCCAATGTGAGATGCTACTAGTAGCGATGATGCCCTTCCACATATGGCATCAACATCAAAGCGGGTATACAAACTTGGCTTCCCCAGGAATCGTGATGCCAACGTTGCAAAACACACCGTGTGCTCATCCCTATAGAGCATACGCATAAGATCGCACAAACATCACTTCGGAAGCAGCTGCCAAAGCTGAGCCGAGCCCAAAGCTCAACATTGGGAAACGCTCCTGCAGGCGGTCCAAGCGTTCCTTCCAATCCTGCGCAGGCTTCGCTTCTGCAGGCAGCAGATTCTTCGGCACTTGACCCGTTGTCGTCAAAAGCCTTCACCTTCACTGCCTGCGTGCCAACTGGGACCTTTGTGGTTTGCTCAACTGATGAATCTTCGAAGGTCCTCCTCACCAACACGCAGCTTTGGTTCATCTCAGCGCAGCACAACGCAACTTCTGTACGAGTCAAACGCCGTTGTCGGAAGAACGCCAGCGACTAAGACTTAATTGGCAGAAACTAAGACGTCGGCCATCAGGTTGCAAGGCATCGGCCTCGCAAGAACTCCAAGACTGAGCGCTAGACTTTGCAGTGATGTTGTGGCTAGTGTAGTTGCGCGGAAGACTCTGCCTCTTTCGGCTTCTTCTCGCGCCTCTGCACAAAGAATCATGTTCTGGATTAGCCAGAAGCAGCAGGCCATCATGTCGTGGCTCTTGGTTGCGCTTTGCCCTGCTTTGCCTGCAAGCTGTGAAAGCCGGCCCAGCTGCTCCTCGTGGGACATCGCCCAAGCAGGAAAGGATTTTGAGACCGACTCACAGTGGTGTCCGACCTGCTGGAACGCGCCGAGCGGCTTCAGAGTCCTCCTTGCAGCTGTGGCAAACCACCATGGATTCCTTTCAGTAGCTACTTTATGTTACACTCGGATGCTTTGGGCTCGGCCACCACGGGCTGCAAAAGAGGCTTGCCACGTGCATCATGCAGTGGAAGCCAACCTGCGGCCAGGAATCTACACAGCCACTCGACAGAACACACAATGCAGGATCTCCCCTGCACCTCTGTCGGTTTTCACCCATTGTTCAAGGACCTTCACCTGAGATGTGGATTTGCGGAGGTGTAGCACAGCAAGCTTGTTGTTGACAGGCAGTGCTTGAGCTGCAAGCCACTTCCCCTGCCCCAACACTGCTGTCCAGTCTGTCATTGAATTCAGGGCTTCTCCTGGACCAAGGCCATCGTTAGCTGCGAACAGTTTCTGCTCAATTCAATCTGACATGACGTGTCCAAGCTCTCAGCATGCGATGTGGAGCCATTTGCCGAAGCACTGCATTATTGGCCAGTTAAGCATCGGGAAAATAAGGGAGAATCAGCTGTGGTGCCGCCCCTTGACTCTTGTCCTCCAGGATATGCCATGGGGAGCAATGACGCGAAAGGGCAGGGCACCTGCCAAGACGTCACTGCTCACTGTGCAATGTTCCATGACTGTGGACCATTATTATTATTATTATGTTTGTTGCTGTTATGAGAGGAACACACATTGGTGGTAGTAATGGTTTTTGGCTCCCGCATGGCAGTATCCGAAAAGTAGTAGTAGTAGTAGTAGTAGTAGTAGTAGTAGTAAGCAGCAGCAGCAGCAGCAGTAGTAGGAGTAGTAGTAGTAGTAGTAGTATAGTAGTAGTATAGTAGTAGTATAGTAGTAGTTTAGTAGT